TTTAAAAGTCTATTTTTTTTGTGACATTGTAATTGTCTCTACGTTCATCCTAGTTTTCTTCCAAGGTATTGCATGTCTTTAAAACATACTGTTTCACTGAACATCTCTAGAGCCTCATTTCCCAATTCAGTGTTTTAAATACCCAGGGATTCTAACTCCCAGAATTTTTTTAATTGATTATCTAAATCTTTGAAATATTTTACTAATTCACAATGATAATTCTCTTTGACCGATTCATCCTGTAATTTTATTTGATGTGGTCTGTGTAGCAGATAAAAAACGTCAGCTCCCAGAAGAGCAGCCATCTTGGTTGGTCTAAATTTGGTCAGCATAACAAGTATTTTTCGGCAAAAAAAATTTTCTTAGCAGCCAGTTATTTTGAAAGAATAAGATCAGTAATATTATCTACAGTTAAAAATTCATCTTTTATTTTAAAGTCTACTTTTGAATTTTCCACTAATGTAGTAAGCTTAACTTTAACAGAAGTGAGTTGCTCAGGCCAGATATAGTAGCATTTCTTGCATGTTAGTTTATTCGTAACATATCCACAATTTCCTTTTGAATTATGCTGACTTGACTGCCTATGTCAAGAATTGCCGAATTGTTTATTTTTTCTCTTGTACCCTTCAAATCTTAATTACAGCAGTAGAAGAAAAGGTGCAAGTATTTCGATATTGGAAAAAGGGAACCTATTGCCTTGCACTGAGAAGGATTTATGTTCACATTCATAGCTTGTTCTGACAAATAATTGATTTACGTAGGGAGTTGCATTATTATTAGCTTTGAAACTAATCATGTTCAGATTTAATTTGCTTGAATGTTTATTTCACTAGCACTATTCAGTGAGAAAGATGTTTTTTGAGAATGCACACTATGGGATATTATTTCTCTGAGAAGTGAATCAGGGTGTTATGTTTTTCACCGCACTTTCAGTACACAAAAATTTGAAGAAGTGTTTGATACTATATTAAAAAAAACAGCTAAAGCACAGCCCTTGCTTTTTTAGAAAATCAACCATGTGTTTCTCTGATATGTTTTGAAATTTAAGACATATATATATATGATTATCCAAACAGAAAATACACTTAGATGACTTTGCACTAGATGGGATTGACATAATTGTTTAATATGGGCAAAAACCTGTTGTCTATGATTTGAACATCTTTCTTCCAACAACGACCAAGCAATTTCATAATTTTTAATTTTGATCCAAAATTGAGATTCATTTTACAAACACCGGATACATCACCTTTAAGAGTTGATAATAAATATTGGAGATTTTGTCCTTCTGACAAATTGTCATTGTTATGCACAGCTTTAAATAAATCATTAAAAGTTATCCATACATAAACATTGCCAGTAAATGTAGTTAAACTCGATTTTGAGAGCTATTTTAGAACAATTTTACCAACACTTATTTTACCTTGTTTATTCTCAGTACTTTTCATAAAATTTTTCACATTCAATTTATGTGAGAATGTTTTTTAATCTTACTTAAAATTTTTCCAGATGAATTTCCATGTCTTCTAGATTTGATTCTGCTTTGCTAATATCTTTTTTCACAAATAATTTAAAATTATATCTTTGGAATTCAGCTATACATCCTTTCATGGTACACACGTTTTCCAATTTGACTTTTAATTCAATTATAATATCTTCAGTTATCAGTTAAGTCACCGATTCTACAGGATGATTCTAAATTGTTTTTACAAATTGAGAGGGGTGATAATACCTATTGAGATGAGCAATAATTACCACAGAGCATAGGGTCACATTCCACTCCGAGAGGTAGGAAAGAGGAAAGTAAAAATGCATTGAGGAAAAACAAGGAGACTATCTGCTAAGGCTATCAAGAATTAACTGTATGCAAATTTACACTGAGAAGAAGCAGCATTTTGCTCTTAGTTGGTACTGGAGAAAGCCTATCAGAGCAAACGGTGTCCTTGAAAATGGCACAACACCATCGCTTTAAGTATTACCTTGATAACATCGTCCAAAACTTTTCGTGAACACTACAGCAGAGTACATGTACGAGAAACTGGTAGATATTCACCTTGCATATGGTGAAGCAAAAGAGAATGGAAGCGAAACACAAAGATTGTACAAACAGCGGTAACCAACTTATCAAATTCCAGGTCATCCAACCTTTTCCAGTGTTGATCGAAGACTGCGAGAAACCGGTTCTTTTGCTATTTCAAAAAGCAATGCAGGACGTTCACGACATGCACAAACGCCAGAAATGAAAGAGTGAGTTTTGACTAGATTTGAAGCAGTTCTTTCCACTTGTACACGAAATGAGTGTGGTGTATTTTACACAAAGATGCAATGTGCAAAAAATGCAATTGTTGGGAGACAGATGATTATTCCTGCTAGGCAGACTTTACAGTAGAATGCCTGAAATGAGAAACACAGCGATTCGTGACTTCCTGCATTAATATTATTTAGTGATGAGATAACATTCAGCAGAGAAGGCATTTTCAACATGCACAGTCAACATGTTTGGTCTGACAGCAATTCTCACTGCACTACCCCTGATAAACACCAGCAGAAATTTTCCGTGAATGTCTGGGCAGGTATCCTAGGTGATTGATTACCTGGTAAGCCCTTCCATCATGCCCAAACCGTTTGACAGGTGCAACATACTGTATCTTCTTGAAGGAAGTGCTTCCCAGTCTATTGCAAGCTGTTCTACTCCTCATCTAGACAGACATGTAGTTTATGTACAATGGAGCCCCAGCACATTTTTCCATCACGGTCCATAACTTTTTGAATGCCTTATATCCCGCACGATAGATTGGACATGATGAACCTGTGTCTTGGCCTCCTCAACCCACTGGACTTTTTCTTCTGGGTGCACATGAAATTTTTAGCGTACAAGACACCTGTGGACTTAGCTGAAGATCTCCTGGTGAGAATTGTTGTTGCCGTGGACAAAATTAACACAACATAAGCAATAAATCTGACTTTGCATTTTTTGGTCTCATTCATTCACTTTCCCGACTCTATTGCAAGTTCAGGTTGGAATTCTAATAAACCTCTTTTCTGCCTCTGAGAGTGGAATGTGACCCTATGTTCTATAGTAATTATTGCTCATCTGAATGGGTACTATCACCCCTCTTAATTTTTAAAAATAATTTTGTATAAAATTTTATAAATTTATACTAAAAAATTATAAAATTTTCTGAGTGGGTGATTCTACCCTTTAGTGTGGCTTTTTCATGCTTTAATGGAATTAATTTTTTCTTCCATTGTTATTCACACAAGTTGTGCAACACAAAAGTTTCAGAAGAAAAGTACAGTTTTAATTTTCACACATTCACTATTAAATGTTGCCGATTCATTTTTAATTTAGGCTCTGTTAGGCCATGATAATTTAATGTAATTGAATAAAATCTCAAAACACATTATAATGTTAGAGCTGTAGCTTTTTTTCACAACTCGCATATTTTTTCAGTACTTGCACCACATACAGGAATACACTTGCTAGTTTGCGTTTTTGGTACAGCATTGCACTTTGAACATATTTTCCCCCTTTCCCAGTTCATAAATCAGTTAGGTAAAACTGAGGATCTGTGGCAGAAATACTGGAAGTCAGTGTACAATTAAGAAAGGTGCATAAATGTGAACTATCTTTGAGTACTATAGATGAGTTTCTTGCAGGTGTACATTATATGAGAAAATAAATAAAGAAATATTCTCAATGGAAGTTTTTTTTTTCAGTTAATTCCAAGAAAAATTTTGATGTGCTAAATGCAAAATTAATTTTTCTACAGTTCATAACCTTAATAGGCTTAAAGCAGAAATTAAATATGAATTCTTCATTACAGTAAGAGATGCTTAAAAAATCACCAGCTGTTTTTGTTAAAACATAATGAAAAGCATTTTAAAAGTTTTTTACTGAAAAACTTTTCACAGAATGATAGTTCACATTATTATCAAGATTTTGGATTTAAAAGCTAGTTCTGCTTTGTCCAGTATCATGTTGTCTGAGTGCCTTTTGCATTGTGTTTGGTATACATTCTATTTTATTGTAATATCCTTTAGAATGTTGTCCAGATTTCAGTACCTAACTCAAATTTAGATTGAATTATCTATCATCTGCTTATCTCTGGTGTCTGTATTTTGAATTACATGCCTATACTATAATCCTGTAACTTTTGTAGTCAAGTTTCACAAATGATAAAATAATGGAAAATTTTACTACTATGTCTGCATTGTAATCTTATGCCCCTGAAATAAGCTATCTAGTAGGATTTGATTTAGTAACTTTGGTAGTCAATTTTCACTAGTGATAAAATAATTGAAAATTCTACTACTATGTCTGCATTGTAATCCTATGCCCCTGAAACAAGCTATCCAGTAAGAAGTGTGCTAGATTTTTTACTTAAATCAAATTCTAAAAAATTGACTGTATCTCTCCTTTCAATTTCATTGGCTTTAGAGGATTTATCTGGGAATCTTCTGCAATTTTTTGTAACTTTCAGTGAAAAAAATTTTCTGGTCAGCTACATGGAGAATATTTATATCATCAAAGTAAAGATCTTGTGTTTTTGTGATTTCTTATTGGCCAAAAAACATTGCAATAATAATGATAAAATCAAAATTCGGAATCCAGTTGCCTCTAGCATCAGAAATGTTTGGATATGATCAGTAATCATATAGGCTAAGAAATATGATTTTTCTGAGAGTTATTTGTCGAACAGTCTCATTTAGTACTAAAATAATTAAAATTATTGTATTTTGTAAAATTATTGCATCAATCAATTTTGCAATTCTTTTATGACTAGTTTTTCATTAGTGAATTCAGTTTTTAAAAGGTTCATTTTACCTTCTTTTTAAAACTTGTTTAAGGCTTTATAATAAACATTACTGAATTAAATAGATATGCATAAATAGATGCGTTACATAAATTTTAAAAACTGTTTTCTTTATTTGTAAGATAGATCTACATATTAATATATATGTATGTGTATGTATTTAATTTTTTCTAATGCTTTTAGCAATTCTAATTGGTGGAAAGGCTCTAATCATAGAGGAGAAGGACTTTTTCCTGCAAATTTTGTTACTGAAGACTTAGATTTTGACCCAAAAATTATAGGTATTGATTTGGAAAATAGCAATAAAATATTTTTACTAGTAGTGTACCATTGTTTTGCAATGTTTTATTAACATAAAGCACACAAAGTTGTGGAATTCAAAAAAGTTTCCTTGTATTTAGGTTCATTCTTATGTCATAGTTTTAAAGAAAAGTTAATATGTACAAGAATTAAATTATTGAATATTGAAAAAGCAACTAGAAGATCATTGTATATAGTAAAATCTCAATTACTTGAACTGTTGATTTTTGTTGAAAGTTATACTCAATATAAAATACTAATTCAGAAGTCAAACAACAAAAATCAGCGTTAATTTGCAAAATTTTCACAGGACTAGTTTCGATGGTTTTACCGAACCATCATCTTCAGCTGCAAAACCGCAAATGAACAAGATAGGAAATAATGTTTAGATAAGATAAGAAAGCCTGGACAAGAATAAGCAAGTGGCGCCATCTGTTGGCGAAACCAGAACTAAAACATAATTTCTCTAAAAGCCGAAGGCAAATTTGGATTGGAATTAGGATCGTTAACTAGAACAGAAAGATTTTTATGAATGTGAAATGCCTCTAGAAAATCCAGTTCTCCAATGGAAGATGTTTTTTGAATAATTTTGGGCAGCAGCAGCAGCAGAAAAATTGAAAGTGTGATTTTCGGACCAACAATGTTGAGCAACAGAAGACTTCTGTGTTTCCTTTTTTCTAACATATGCCTTCATGTTCTTTTCTTTGACACGAAATTTTAAGGCTCTCTTAGTTTGGCCAATGTAAATTAAACCGCACTGGCAAGGAATCCTATAAATACCCCAGGAATTCATATCCGGAATGGGGTATGGGGTCCTTGAGTAGTTAGAAGTTGGAATTTTATTGATGGGAGAGTAAACAACCCGAAAGTTAAATTTCTGCAAAATATGTGCAACTTTATAGCTAATTGATGGAAAGAAGGGAATAACAACAGAATTTTTATAATCTCCTAAAATAAGAGTGTGCTGGCTTTAGTGTGTTGAGATGAGAATTTTTTAACTGCTTGATTAATAATGTTAGGTGAAAAGCCCCTGTCAATAGCTATTGCTTTTAAATAATTTAGTTCTTCATCAAGGGCTAGTTTGGAGGAGCAAACTTGAAGAGCACGGAAAACATAGGAATAAAATGAAGCTAACTTTTGTTTAGTCGGATGACATGATTTAAAGTGTGGTGGAGGTGGTGGCAAACCGATGAAGGTTTACGGTAAACTGTAGTACTGAAGTTGGATGTGTTGCGCGTGTGACCAGAATGTCGAGAAACGGAAGAGAATTGCAAGTCTCAAGTTCAAAAGTGAACTGAATAGCAGGATCAATAGAATTATTGAATTCATTGTTGAAAGAACTCTATTTAAATCATCTTTATTACCTTCAAACAGGGTAAAAGTAAAAGTATCGTCTACGTAGCGGAACCATGCCGGGAAGTTTAAAGTTTCAAACAATTTTGATTCATAATAATGCATGTAGATATCAGCCAGGATGGGACTGAGGGGGCTTCCCATGGCTAATCCCTCAGTTTGCTTGTTTGTAATATTTATTTTGGAAAACAAAATGTGTTTGTTTCAAACAGAGTTGAGTGAGAGAAATTAGCTCATCAATTTCGATGCAAGAGAAATGAAATTCGCGAAGTCTGGTTTCTAGACATCTTAATGCACCCTCCACTGGGACATTGGTGAATAATGATTTTACATCAAAAGAAACCATGAGTAAATTACGAGGAGAAATGTTTTTAACCTTTTTTACAAACTCTATTGAATTTTTTATGGTGTAAATGTTATTGTCTAATAGAGTGGAAAATCTAGAAACTAAATATTTAGCTAATGGATACGAGGCAGTACCTAAATTTGATACAATAGGGCGGAAAGGAATACCACTTTTATGAATTTTGGGAAGAACATATAATCTGGCACAATTCGCAACAGATGGGATAAGCGAATGTTTTAAGTTGCTTGAAATGATTTGCGAAGATTTGATCGCAGTTTTTATTTTGGATAAGTCCGAAGGTGAAGGATCTTTAGGGATCGGATTATATGGTCCTTCGTTTAAGAGTTTAGTGACACCATCGATGTAAGTGTTCCTATCCATGACGACTATCTGGCCACCTTTGTCGGCCTTTGAAATGACAATATCCGGGTTAGAATGAATCTCGCGCATTGTAGCTCTTTCTCTCGCAGTTAGATTTGGTTTCAAAGGTTTATTATTGAATTTCACATTATGAGCGATAAGATGCCTAATCATTCTTTCTGTGAATCTGAAACTTTACTGAACTTGAAAGCTTTTTCGATAGGAGCCAAAATCTTTGGAATCGAGGGTTTACAGGTTTGTGAGAAGTTAAAATTATATTTTAGAATTCTCTCTTGTTCTTCTGAAAGACTAACATTAGAAATATTAACTATTGGCTTGATGTTTACAATGGGAAGATTTTTTGAACTACTTGAACTGGAAGACTGTAAAAGAAGTTTTTCGAATTTAACTGCAAGGGTGTTTTTATGACGGTTAACTGCATTTTCCGTTCTAGACCAAGACTTTTGTTCAAGGGCAGTGAATTTTGGATATGTTTTAGCGAGTTCCAGATGAAGCTTATAGAGTTCATGTTCAATTTTGGACAATTGTTGACGTGTATCCCTTATCACGGACCGAAGTAAGGCAAGTTTGCAATTTAACAGAATTCTTGAAACGCGACTCGAAGGTTTTTGATTAGATTTGATTTGAATAAAATTGGGGATCAATTTTTTTACATTTACATTTAAGTAAAAAGTCAAGATGATTCAGGAATTTTTGCCGATTCAGGCGTAATTTAGTGAAACGATTAACGGATGAAGGCATGATAAACAATGCAGAAAATCAAACTAAATTAACTGAGCAATAATAAAGTACACACAAAATAGCAGAAAAATCCCTCACTGAAATGAATAGAAAACAAAATGTTTGTAAGCAAAATGCATGAAATCAGACAAGCAAAGCACAATATCCAAATGTACAAAACATAAACATAACTTGAAAATTGCAAAAATGTACTCACCGAAACTCCTACAATCACAAAAATGGCGGCCACACCACGTGCAAAAAAGAAAGCAAAATGTAAGCCTGTTTGGGGCTTTTTAATTAAGACACAATAACACGCCGAATAAATACTAATTCAGAAGTCAAACAACAAAAATCAGCGTTAATTTGCAAAATTTTCACAGGACTAGTTTCGATGGTTTTACCGAACCATCATCTTCAGTTAAAAAATTCTCATCTCAACACACCAAAAGCCACACTCTTATTTTAGGAGATTATAAAAATTCTGTTGTCATTCCCTTCTTTCCATCAATTAGCTATAAAGTTGCACATATTTTGCAGAAATTTAACTTTCGGGTTGTTTACTCTCCCATCAATAAAATTCCAACTTCTATACTCAAGGACCCCATTCCGGATATGAATTCCTGGGGTATTTATAGGATTCCTTGCCAGTGCGGTTTAATTTACATTGGCCAAACTAAGAGAGCCTTAAAATTTCGTGTCAAAGAACATGAAGCATATGTTAGAAAAAAGGAAACACAGAAGTCTCCTGTTGCTCAACATTGTTGGTCCGAAAATCACACTTTCAATTTTTCTGCTGCCAAAATTATTCAAAAAACATCTTCCATTGGAGAACTGGATTTTCTAGAGGCATTTCACATTCATAAAAATCTTTCTGTTCTAGTTAACGATCCTAATTCCAATCCAAATTTGCCTTCGGCTTTTAGAGAAATTATGTTTTAGTTCTGGTTTCGCCAACAGATGGCGCCACTTGCTTATTCTTGTCCAGGCTTTCTTATCTTATCTAAACATTATTTCCTATCTTGTTCATTTGCGGTTTTGCAGCTGAAGATGATGGTTCGGTAAAACCATCGAAACTAGTCCTGTGAAAATTTTGCAAATTAACGCTGATTTTTGTTGTTTGACTTCTGAATTAGTATTTATTCGGCGTGTTATTGTGTCTTCAATATAAAATGTTTTTGAACAGTTGTAAGTGAAAATTTTGAGAAGAGTCTAGAAATATATAGATGTTGTGATCATAGTTCTTCAGACTGTTTCTCCTTGTTTTCTTTTCAATATTTGGTAATTTAGTTTTCAGATCTTTGCTTGTTTTTATCACTCTTGTATTCATCTATCCTATCCTGCCCCTTTTTCTTTGTATCTTCTGTTCAATCTGTGGGCTGTATGAAGATACTCTATAAGATAGCATACTGGTGTCCAAAATTAAGTGTACAAACACAAAATGTTATTTCTTGAAAATTAATTGGTTTGTTGTAATAAAATTTTGCCCATAGATGGCTATTATAATAAGGCAGCTTATAGTGACAGAACAAAGAAAAAACTGTAAATATTTTGTGATGGCGAACCAAAAATTACGAAAATATGAGACCTTATATTTCCAGAATGGTGTGTGTGTGGCTAATGAGTGTTGCCAATCCATGCAGCTTTACATACATCAAAACAAGCTCCCGTATTGTAAATGAAGTTGTTGATTTAGCTTTTAACATGTAAAAGGTTTTTCTAGAGCATTACAAGCAATCTGTATATAGGATTTAGGTGTAGCAACTTCATTTACGATATCATGCATATCTTCTTCCTGCAAAAAAATCAATGACCAGTTATGCTTTGTGTGGTCTCATATTATCATCCATAAAAGTACACTTTTCTCTAACAGCTCCCTAGAAAAGCATCAAATAATGTTCAAGAACCTCATCTTATGAATGCTGTGCATCACAGTATCTATTTCAAATCATGTAGAGGTATCCAGGCTTCCAAAATTAAGCCTTCCTGTTCAATGATTCCATTTCTACAAAAGTGTTTGATTCCTTTTATAATGGAGGGATGTTTATGGGCTTCTGGCTTTCTCTAGATGAAGATTTGTTACTCCTATAATTAATCTAAACTAATCATTAAGAAGTATATGACCCCCAATTTTTCTATTTCTAAGAATGATATGCCAGACTCCACAAAGATAAGATCTCTTCTGCAATCTGTTGAAGAGAACTTGTACCATTTGGTTGGACATAAAGGCCTTTCCTGTGAGGCATCTGTATGCAAGTTGCTTGAAAATTGTTGTTCCAGATACATCATCATGCTTCTCAAAGTGCTGTCCAGCTGTTATCTCTCTATAGTAACCCAAACTTTTCTCATCACAGAATGCTTTTTAATTTCTAAATGTTTTAAGGAATACAAAAGTAATTTTTTTAATATATATATATATATAATAAATGATAAACATATATAAGTTAAATGACAATGTAGCATAGATTAAGATTAGGTTTTTAGTTACAAGAAATGTTAACACAGATAATAAGGTGAGGGTGATAAAGTAAGCATATACAGTACAAATTCCAAGACTGAAACTCCTTGGGATTTGAGAAATTCCAGATTTGGGATTTTTCCAGATATTAGATCTTCAGTTTAAATCTTTTAAGATGACATGTAGAAATTATAAAATAAAAAATCTGAAATAATGAAGCATTTATAACCTTAAGGGTATCAAAATTTACAAGAAAAGCTCAATATGTATGTGTTTGCTTTATTAAACATATCTTTCAAATTTGTTGTTCAAGTGTTTAAGTTGCTTCATTTCTTGCTCTAAGACTTTCTCTTTAATTCTATAGATACACTTCTTGTTCAGTTACAGAGTTCCATTATTTAAGTCCTCTAACTGCCATGTTGAGTATTCCCACTAAAGTGGCAATCAAAATTTTCTCATTCTCAGCACTTTCTTTTCTATCAGTAATGATATTTTCTGGATTTACAGTCATACTATAGATTTCATTGTTTGTCGTTTGATTGATGGTTGGGGCATTCTCATCACAATGTTTCTATCAGTAATGATATTTTCTGGATTTACAGTCATACTATCGATTTCATTGTTTGTCGGTTGATTGATGATTGGGGCATTCTCATCACAATGAAAAATTCTGCTTCCCCCCCCCTTTTTTTTTTCCTCTTGTTTAATCCTTTAAATTCACAGCTATCATTATACATTTAGCTAGTGTCCACCATAAACGATTGATGATATATCATAAGAATGGAGACATGAGACGTGTTGTTTGCTAAAATTTTGTCATTCTCCTGTCACGTGTTGAGGAAGTTAAGTTAGAATTACATTAGTTTAGTTATTTATTATGCTTACTGTTCCCTATGTATGGTTGAGGCTTATCTGAGTTCTGAATAAATAAATTTCCACAGTACTTGAGGCTTATTTAAATAACAAATCAGTTATTATATATTCAAACAACATAAAGTGTAGTCTTTTGACCTCTGAACATCATTTACAAAATCTATTTTTTTGCATATGAAAGGAAATTTCTGTTAAATTTCTTCTCGCCAGCCTACTCAATACTTCACTGTGCAGTTAACACAAGTCTGTAACCATCACCAAGCATAATGTCAATATAAAAGGTTACCATGCTATTTGGTATTCAATTACAGTATTTAAAAAAGAAAAATTGTTTGGATTCCATTGTGTGAAACATCTCTCAAGCTGCCATGTCTTGATAGTCATGTGGTGATGAAAGCAAAATGTAATAAATAATGATTCAACAGATTAATATTAGGGATTTAAGTTATTCAGTAGGTATATAATCAATGATTTTTCCATGTAGAATGATTTGGTTTGAGGTGGATGCGAACCAAAAAAGGCAACAATGGAACCAAATTATTGATTTTACAGATTTATGTTAATAAACAATCATTTCATCAGTATGAAGATATTTTATTTAATGCCGAAGGGAACTCAAGAGCCATGACTCTCTACTTTTATCACGAAAAAGTATTGAATGCATATGCATAAAGTGTACTGTATTTTTACGTTTTGCTTGTGGTCTGGATTTTTAACATTGTTCTGTATTCCAAGTTGTATATCATACATATGAAAGAAATGTTTTTTGATTTTAAATTTTATAAAAAAAAATACACATAAAACTAATTAAATGAATCAAATTAAAACATTTTTAGCTTTTAATGATTATTATATGTTCGAGTTTTCAATTTATAAGTTCTTCTAATGTGAGGCATAATGCCAAAAACCTGAATTCTTATATCAGATGCAACGTGAAGTCAGTTTCTGTATTTTGATTTTAATGCAGTGTAATGTAAAAAATCTGCTTTGTACAACTGCATTTTTGCAAAAGGAATTAAAGTATCATGTTCCGTATCATATGAGTATCATTATGGAAATATCATGAGTAGTTTGTTTTGATAAGTTTAGATATTTTTCTGAAAAACTTATCTAAAACTGATTTCGAAGTAGTTTCCTTTAAATTCTTGTTTTATGCTGGAATCAGACATCAGTTTTTAAAGCATTAGTGGTAACTACTTTGAATTATTTCAAAATGATGTGTTTGTAACTTTAATTTTGGACTCCAATGTACTTTTAAATATAGTATCTAAATGTAATAGAACTGTGATGAAACAACAAATGTATTAACATTGGAGAAAGGAATGATTACAAGCTATTCATATTTTTCTGTTTAGTTTTGCTTATAAACTACAGTGTTAAAATTTGAAAATATGTTCCCTTCAGTTCAAATAAATAATGTAATATTCAATTATAAAGCATTTATTTCAAATAGTAGTTTTTTAAATAAAAATTTATTGTCTGAACTCACTCTATTCTCATAGTGTTTCCATAACTGAGGCTGTACTGTATATAGTAGATACTGAAATGTTAAATATCCTGGTACAGCAACATGCAAATTTTTAGATAGTGCATATGTTGCATAACACTCACATGGATTATCAGTTCTGAACATAGAATAATTTTGATGAACTTGATATTTGAGTTAAGTTTATTTTTTAAAGATTTTATAAATATATTTCAAAAGAAAAAGTTACATAATACGTTTAAGCTCTTTAAATGATATGTGGTTGTTTTATTATAAGCATGTAGGGAATGTTAAATTTTTTGTAGCTAAAAAGTTGGAAATTCAGATATATATATATATATAACAGCTTAGGAATTTCATTAGATGCTTTTGCTTATTCAGCAAGATCAGAAATTTCCTCTTTTTTTAAAGCCCCAAAAGTATAAATTTTGCTTGTTGAAATCTGCCTAGATAAAAATAGACTAAATAAATTGCTAATTACATATTAATTGGCATGATCTACTTTTAGAAATTAGTTTTTCATGTTAAATTTTAATCACATCATTTTCTAGATACCACACAAAGTCTTTGAAAAAAAATAATTTTAATTAATTTAAGACAGCTTATTGATTTTAGAAAGGTTCAAATTTGAGTCAAATGAGTTTTCATTAGTTTTGACATTTCTTTGTCAATCTTAACTTCAATCTGTACTGAAGGTAATGATTAACTTCAAAATTTAATACCTTAGCAGTGGGTTTATTTGCATTAATCATAGAAATTATTCTTGGACTTATTATCATGAAACTATGCTTCTTAGTTTCATTGTATAATTTTAAACTTCCTTCCCACTAGAAAATTCTGCACTAAAAAATTTTACTTTTGTTTTGAATCTGTGAGGAATTATTTTCTCATTTTAATTTAAAGTCAGTAACCCCTCCCCCCCAAAAAAATAAGAGTCTGATAACAAAATTACATAGTTCTTAAAAATGTATCTTACATTATAAATTGAAAAAGTAGGTAATTAAACATTAATTATTATGTGGAAAGGAAAGTACAAACAAGAAGTGAAATTGTGGCTGTCACATGGCTGATAAGTTTGCATAATAATCTTTCCCTATTTCACATCAAAAGAATCTGCCACTTAAAATTCGCTTTTGAAAAGTCTGGTTATTTTTTGGTGTACATTTGAATAAATTAGATTTGAAAGATATATTGCATGAAACCTAACACCTTATTTTAATAAAATTGCATATTAATTCATTAAATCACTTCAGAATAAAAATGGCATATGCATAAAAATTAATGTAACATTTAACCAGATTTTAATAGCAAATGCGTAATTTTGAACCATTTCAAGAAATTAAGGAACTCGTAAAATAAAATAAGTATATTTATATCCTGGCTTGTATAATTAATTTTAGTGTATATATTTTACTCTTTAAAAATAACAATCCTGTGATACTCTTCGAAACTTTAATACCAGATTCTTATTCATTTTTTTATGCATCTGTGTTTGTTGTCAAAACAAATGTAAAAAATTACTCCTAATTATAATTTTCTCCTACTAGTTGAAACTACAACAGAGGAAGAGAAGCCAGCTGATATTGATGTAGAAGTCAAAATAGATGAGGTAGAATTAAAGAAAATTTTCAAAAAATTATATTTATCTCTATGTAAATTTTAAAGTTTTCTTGGTACTTTCTTATCATCTGCACCCATTCTGTTAAGTTGCAAAAAACTATATTCATGAATCAAAGCAGTATGCCACCAAAACATCTATGTGGCAAGCCAGGTATGCACATGATACACTGCTTCAAAAAAACAATGGGAGAGTTCTACATCTCCCATTCTACTGGGCCGATTGACGAAATTCAACTTGCGTTTTTGTCTCAATAGCTCGACTTGGATATGTTTATATATAGCATCATTATAATATAGGTATTTTGACACAAAATCAGACTTTTTCTGAAATGAAATACAAATTTTTTTCCATATTTCAATTCTACGACTCAAATTATACCAAACTACCAAGATTTGTAAAAATCACACGAGTAGTTTTTAAAAAATTAGCTCTCAAAGTTTTAGCTCCTTAATGTTAATTGAGTTTGGGTATGTATTTATTTATCTTTCTTTTTTTTATATAAAACTTGTTTGATTCTTTCTTTCACATTTTGAAATTTAGGTTCATTCCAAATAAAATTCACCCATTTTTTATGATTTATTTTTAAATAATTTTTATAAATTTTTCAAAAAAATTTTACCATCATCTTAAAGTATACATATTTCTAAGCATACCTGCAAAAAGTTACAGGTTTTTATTCAGAATTTCTGAAGATATATGTGAATTTATATATTGGCCCGTTTTGAAATTTGGCATATTTGTTAAGCGATAAAATGTGTTTTAGACATTTTGCAAACTTTATTTGGAAGTAGAAACAATGTGATTTTTTTCCGCTCATGTACAATGTAAAAAGGGAGGAACAAGGTGCCTTTTTTTCCACTCTGGCCCAATGGAAGGAAAGGAAAATTGGTTGCCACATATTAAGAATTTCGCCAAGTGGATTATTTTTGGTGCAAACTGAAAAAGATAAATGTTTTAATTTCTCCATAAATTTTGCACCAAATTTTACAAAATTTAATAGCTAGGCATAATTTGAGTCGTAGAATCAAATATGGTAAAAAATTGGCATGTTATTTCAGGAAAAGTCCGATTTTGTGTCAAAATACCTATGTTAGAACAATGCTATGTATAAATATAATATACAGCGTGTTTAAAAAAATATATATGTATTTCGAATGTATATATTTATTAAACTGTATGACATGACATACAAATATGAAACTTTTTACACATATGTACGAACCTCTCAAGTTCCGATTACAGATGTTACAGATGTTCAATATGTCCTCCATCAGCGACACGAACAATATCACATCAATACTCAAATTCCTCCCATACTCTGGCAAGCATGTCCGTCATCACTGATGCTATGACGGTATGGATCCGGATCTTCACCTCATACATGTTCTGTGGGAGTGGTGGTACATAAACGTTGTCTTTAATGAAACCCCACAGGAAGAAGTCACAGGGTGTCAAATCCGGTGACTGTGGAGGCCAGCCGAGACATGCTAAGTCACCAGCACCTTGATGACCAATCCAACAGTTCAGTAGAGTTTCATTCAGATAATCACTCACTTGGTGACATCAATGAGGGTGTGCCCCGTCTTGTTGAAAAATGAAATTGTCTTTGTTCAGTCTCGGAAATAACCAGTTTTGTAATATAACAAGATACTGCTGACCATTAACCGTGTTTCTATCAAAGAAGAATGGGCTGTAAACAGATGATTGGGATATCGCACAAAACACATTGATTTTGGGCAAATCTCGTGGGGAATTTTGGGCTGCATGTGGGTTCTGTAGGCCCCGAATTCGAACATTGTGTTTTTTTTTATGACCACTAACATGAAAAGTCGCTCCATCACTGAACACGATGCATTGTGCGAAAATGTTATCATTGTTAATAGCATCAATAACATCATTACAAAATGCCACATGTTTGCATTTGTCATTCTAATGCAGAACCTGTAACAAATGCAACTTGTACGGTTTCATAAACCAACCGACGTCTCAAAACACGCCAAATTGTTGTTGTAGGCAGTTATAGCTCCCGACTGGCATGACGAGTTGATTTCGAAGGACTACGTTGGAAAGCAGTTTGATTTCTTGCAACATTTTCGTCGGGATTACGAGGGCGGCCAGGACTCTTTCCTTTACATACATATCCTGTATTTACAAACTGTCAATACCATCTGCGAATGTTCCACCCATTCGAAGGTTCACTTTGGTACCTCAACTTGAAACGTCTTTGCATTGTAATCACCAAATTGCACTTCGCAAACTCAAGAATACAAAAAGATTTCTGCTGCGGAGTAGCCATTTTAAACATGTGAGGGTTACCACGCAAAACAGAAGACAACTGACATCTAGCAGCTATTAATATAAACTAGACTATGTATTCATTTCGCCAATAGCCGAGCCGAGGCATGGTGATTGGTAGTTTGGACAAAATAACACTTTGTAACGCGTATATTCTTTTTGAAACACGGTGTATATCCTATGTCGCGCTTTCCAGACATGAAAAACATAATTCGAATTTTGTCTATCGGCCCAGTAGAATGGGAGATATGGAACTGTTCTTTTCTTCTTCTTCTTCTCTTCCCCCCCCGCAGTGGACATTTAATATGGAATGCCAACTTTGTGCATTTCTCTGATATTTTTTAAGAGAAAACAAATTTCTGTTCTCATGGGGAAAACAACAGCAAAAATAATGAAGGATTTAATTTCTTGAGAAATGTAAGTATTTTGTTACCGGTGTTTCTTACTTTTTACATTTGATTGATTGATCATTCCATATAAAATTCTTAGTGAGCCATCATTTTGGAAACGGCTGTTGCCTTTTGCGCATTAGCTTGGTGAAAATTTAGTCAGCTATGAATTTGTGTGGGGGGGTGCAGAAAATCAGAAAGTAGTGTTTTCATTTTTCATTTGTAGAGAGTAATAAACAAAGTTTAGTATGAAAATGGCATTAAATTTTGAATTAATGTCTTATTTGTTCTGTTCAAAACATTTGAAAGGAAAAAAATATTTCCAGGTATTGAAACTTCTGTATTTTCTTTTGGGCTATTTCAGTACATTACTTAAAGATTCACTTCATTATAATTTATCTAAAAATAAGATATAAATAATTACAAGTTTATTAGAAATTTAAAAGTATTAACATAATGCCTGATTTTTGAGCTGTGTTAATAATGTTTCCTTGTTAAATTCATGGGTTCAATTCACCTGAAATAAATAACTTCTCTTGAAACATTTAGCAATAATTTTCATTTGCCCTTAAATCATTGAGCTATTAATTGATTTAAATTAAGTTTGCTACTGTTAAAAATAAAACTCTAAAAATTAGAGCTGTAAGATTAGAAATATATTTTCAAATAAAAATTGTTTGGATTGTTTTCTTGTCCCATCTTGAATGAGAAAAAATTGTTCTGAAAGTTGGATTCTGTCTACTCTTTAGAACTCGGAGAAATTTGTAAGATGGTGAGAAACTGATGATGGATGATCTTTCCCTTTTGTCTGAATATCCTATCCCCTATTTCCAGCATTTAATTAAATATTTCTGAATCTTCCAATGTTATCTTCATTCATTATTTTCTCATTTCTAGAAATGAAACTCTCTCATATGTATTGCAAATTTACGCAAGCTTTGTTATACCATAGTGTTAATTTAGATTTTACGTATCTTTTACCATGAATTTGGGACATATGATATTTTCTAAACTCAGAATACTGAGAAATTTTTTCTGTCTAAAACAGAGACAATATCTCTTTACTTAATGCCATTTCAGCTTTTGAAAAGTTTTACTAACCTGTATTATCTAACAGAATGCTTCTAAAGCCTTTATGTTTTTCTTATGTGTGTGTGTAATCAAGAGATAATAATTAAATCAGAAATAGTGTTCAGTTGCCTAACAGCAACACAAATCAGTATTGAAACTAAAACAAAACAACTTGATAAAAAAAAAACATAAAAATATTGTGAAGTTACAAATAGTTAGAAATTTTTTGGTAAAAATCTTAGTTTTGAAATTTCTAAGCTCTTGCTCATATATAGTATATATATCTGCATGGCATGTATGTGTATCGCATTTGTATGTACATAACAATGAATTGCTTTTTTATGCCTGACAGATATTTATCATTTGCAGAGAAAAAAATAAGCCTAGTTTTTTAAAGTAACCATGTTCTGCAACCAAAAAAAAATTGTGTTTTCAAATTTTTATTTAATAATTGGGAGTGAAGTATTTTAATATAAAACTAATAAAATACAATAAGAAATGTGTCATAACTATAAAAAGTACATTTTAAATGGATTTTGATAACTTAAGGGTCTAGTAAACTGCAAACATTATGTACATTGCATGCATATATATAACAAAGCTTGCATAAATATATTCTGCCACAAAAAAATATATGAACTCGGAAGAAATCGAGCCACAATCATGAAACTTAGCAGAAATATAGTCTTGTAAGAGATATGCAAATGATTTAAATTTTGATACCAATGAGACAAGGGTAAGTGTGCAATGTGCATATGAGATACGCTGCTGGAGAGATTAAAAGCATGATTGCTAGTGCCATGGGTTATTCAAATGAATCTATCAACTTGGATGGATGGAGATGGCTGTAAGATGTAACCGGTGGCAGTATGAACAGTTGTAGGACTTTGAGAAGGGGCATTTAGTAGGCTTTAGAGAAGCAGGATTGTTTGAGCAGGTGTTTCGGCCTCCACCTCGGTCAAAGCGATATGATAGTTGCTCAGTTGTTAGCAACAATGGATCATAGAAGGGATACTCCACTATCGGAAATAGTCAGAGCATTTGAGGAACACAAATGAGCACAAAGATGATGCAATCATAAGAGCGGCCACTTCTTCATCAACAATGTTGCTAGCATCAATTTAACGCCATTTACTGCCTTCCAGGCATCTGGCGGTATCAAGGAAACCACTTGGAGACAACTGGCAGATGCTGGTATATGCTGCTGATGTCTATTAAGACACCTGCCACTAACCCCACATCAGAGGCTGTGTCAGTTGCATTTTTACCAAACTCGGGTAAGCTGAAGTATGACCAACTGGAGGCATGTGATCTTCAGCAATGAATCCTATTTCAGTCTCAGTGCTGATAACTGATGTATGTGCGTGTGGAGGTGGCCAGACCAGCAGTTCGATCTGTCATTTACTGTTGAATAGCATGTGGTGAGTACACAAGGTGTGACAGTGTGGGAGCAATTTGTTGAGACGTGATACCTCTAGTCATCTTTCAAGGCTCTATGATGGCTTGCAGCTACGTGGACGACATTTTAACTTGGGTTCTACTGCCAATGCTATCAAGTCACCTAGGTGCCATTTATCAGCAAGACAACGCTTGTTCACATACTGCACGACTCTCCCAACAATGTTTTCAAGGATATGATGTACTTCCGTGGCCTGCCAGGTCACCAGACCTCTCGCCAGTAGAGCTCATTTCGGCAATTTGGAAGGCAAGTCATCTGAAATATTGGTGAATTAACTGCCCAGCTGCAAAGATTATGGCATGAGCTTCTGCAGGTGACGTACTTGATTTAGTGCCATGCCATGTTTCAGCTAGTATAGCTAACAGAGGTGTATATACTGCTCACTGATTTGTAACCTTGTTCATGCCATAAGTTCTTAGTAAAATGATCTTTTGTTCTGAATTTGTAATCATTTTTGGTACTGTTCTGTTATCAGGACCTGATTGAGAAGTGTATAAATGTATGCACATGTGTATGTGTGTATGTTCATATATTTGTATACACACACACATACATTCATACTTATATATACTATACATGCATACATGAACACGTACATATATACATTTCTTTATCCTGACCTGATAACAGAACAGTAGCCCATTTGTTTTTTGTACACATATATTCATGCTATAAATATACCTCACAATTTACATAATAAATATATTCTTTTGGCTCGAGATACATGCATGTTAAGTTTTGTGATAGTAGTTTGTTTCCTTCTGGGTGCATATAATTTTTTGTGACAGAGTGTATTTATATCAAAGTAAATTATTTAAAAGTCTGTTTTACTGTTGTAATTACTTAATTTTTAATATTTTGTCCTTGAAAGAAGCAATATGAGTGCTAATATTAAGGCGATTCTCTTAAATGTTCTTTCAGGAGAAAATTGAAAAGGTCCTGAATTGGCTGACTGATGTTGATCCAACTGAAGAAATTCCTGATCCTGAAGATATGCTGTTACTTGAAAGTATGCATTGGTCTGCCTGTTAAATACGAGGGCATTTCGAAAAGTAAAGATACAATGGCTCGCATTCCTTAAAAAATATATATATATATTTAGAAAACGTCAGTTCATCTTATTAACTGGATTATTTATTATTTTTTGACATAATCACCCCTATTATCCAAACATTTGTTAAGTCGGTGCACAAGCTTTTGTATCCTACAGTCATAGAAGGTTGCCGCCTGTTGGAACCCAGTGCGCACACAATTTCCTCTACCCTAATTTGACAGTCACATCTTCATAAAGAGTTGTCATTGACACTTCCGGTATAATCTGATGCAATTCTTTCAATTTGAGACGTCTATTCTCACGAATTGCTTCCTCTGTTCTCTGAAGAAGGGCATCAGAGATCACAGATGGCCGACCTGTTCTTTTTTCATCATGAACATCGGTCCTACCTTCACAGAAATGACGACACCATTTCGTTACATTTTGTCGATTCATAATGTTCCCATAAACAGAAACGATTTCTTTGTGAATATCTGCTGGTCGCTGACCTTTTGCATGAAGAAAACCTAGCGCACTTCGCATTTGGCGGGATTCTGAATAGGCGCAGCCATTTTAAACACGACCTACTCCAACTAGATTCAACGTTGAAATGCCGAACGACTGCGAGGAGAAACCTAATGGTTCAGCGAGGAGAAAGCTAACGGTTCAAGGTTAACACCTGTGTTGCCAACTTGCTCACCAAAAAACTTTTCTTTTCCTCTGGCATACGGTGTATCTTTACTTTTCGAAATGCCCTTGTAAATACTGCTTTATTTACACTCTCTAACATAAAAGAAAAATTAATATTATTAATTAATATTAATATTAACTCTTCTAACATTAATATTAATATTAGTAGAGAGTAATATTAATAATTAATATTAATATTACTCTCTAACAACCAAGGAGTTATTCAAATGGAACGAAATTGTGTATGTCTATTGCTTATACCTTACGACAGAACAGAATATACCAATGATTAACTTTTAAGATCTAGTGACTGACTAGCTGAACTCAAATGCATTGCAGAGCATCCAGATGGTAATCAATCAACTCTGGGCATTTTGCTTTCCATCACCTAAAGTTCTCACCCCGCCGAACCAGACGCAGGGTTTCAACCCCTGCCCTTACACCTTGGAGAAAGAGATGCATCGCTTTCATAACACTGATCATTATGATTTGCTATCTGCCAATCACACGGGCTGCCCGTCGCCCAAAGTGATTACCCAGAATATATGGGGCACTAGCCGCAGGCATAACCGGGGCTTCTAGAACCTTCAGCTCTAATATGATTTGTATACCCCTGTGGTCGAGACTGCCTAGGTACAGATCCTAACCCCTAGCTTCACAGAGTTCTCTATATTGATCCCTGGGTGGATCCAGATGGTATGCAAAATAGAAAACATTTCATTGCTAAGGCATAACTTCCATGCAAATGTGGCTCTGTTCGCCGATGCATGTAGACTGTACAAATGTTTTGCAGATGGTTTCTTGAACTGTATGAGCAGATATCACCTTTTAGAGAGGATTGGCAATTGGACTAAAGGAAGCAGGGTGGTCAAGTCGCTACATTGCTTGACGTTTGTCTCGGAACAATGCTACCCTTCAACAATGTTGGTAGGAATTGGTGAACCATGACTGCATAGAGCATCAAGAAGACATTGGTCGACTAATAGGACAATCTGGCGCTCACAGTCCCTGATGTGTCCTTATCAATGATGCAGTATGTAATGGGGATACCAGTGACTGCAGCGACCATTGATAAGCAACTCGCTGAAGGCAGGACTGAATTCATGAAGGCTGTTACACCAACTGCCGCTCACCGTTGCGCACCACCTGGCATGTTTACAGTGATGCCGGGTGCATTCAACCTAGGATCTTACAGACTTGAGTAAAATTATTTCCATTAATGAATTCTGCTTTGAAGTGAGCTTCGATGACCAGCAAAGACATCTCTGGAGACATCCAGAACAGCGGTTGAACACTTACCTGACTTTTATTTGCCAATCAGCCCAACATCCAGGAGTTATAATTTGAGATGTCATTTCATTTGATATCTGGGCCCTTTTGGTTGTCATCCATGACATCCTTACATAGAGATTCTATGCCCAGTAGTGTTGCCCTTCTTTTCATGGATCCCTTGGCTTATGTGTCAACAGGATAATGCCCAGCCATACACATGTTCTGCTGCTTGTCTTTGTACTTCTCTAATACTTCCCTGGCCAATGCAATCACCAGATATCTCCCCAGTGGAACATATTTAGACTTATAATAAGCAAGCATCTCTGACCATCGCTGGATCATACCAGCTGGACGTGTATGGTAGGCAGTCTTACAGGAGGAAATCCTTCTACTCTTCAAGTCAGTGCCCAGCTGGATAGCAACTTGCATCAGGGTCAGAGGTGGGGCAATGCATTTTTTCCCCTTGTAGTTTTATTTCCTGAATAAAATATTCAACTCCTATGTTACTGTTAGCGTTTCGTTTTCAATGTGTATATATCACATCCTGATTTTCATCCTATTCAGATAACTCTTCTTAGTCTGTCACTTTTTATGTTATAGAGTGTATTTATATGTGGTTTTCAAAGAATATTGTATTGCCGCCCAGTCGGTATAGTGGTCAGGGAAGCTAACTGCGATGCCGAAGGGCCTGGGTTCGAATCCCGGAGAAGGCATGGTTGTAACTGTCCGTTCCTTTATAGGAAAGGTGATGGTGGCTCACCTATTAGGTGCCTCGATAGCAGAGACCACCATATCCGGCCTTGTATAGATTACTGGACTGGGTTACATTTGTAATTGTTCACAATCTGCCATTGGGGTGAAAAAAATATTGTATTGATAAATTTTTATTTCTGAGGCTGAGAAATGAATGTACAGATTGGATTACGAACTCTTGTAATCCAACTGATATATTCATATCTCAGGAAACTATTAAAGTAGGCCTACATTAGTATAATAGATGTAAAAATTATGCACAAATGGACTTTCAAAACCAAAATTTAAGATTAATTAATTAACTAAGGTTAATTAAATTTATTAACTAGAGACATAAGGTTTATATTTTTAAGGAATTTTTTATTTATTGCATATTCTTTCAAAATGTATTTTCAGTATTTTTCTTAGGAGTCAGAATTGAATCAGTGTGTTTTCCTAATCTACTTGACAGTTAAATTTACTTGAAGTTAGTTAAAATTTAAATTAAGATTTTAAATCGACTTTTCACTCATGTGGACTAGGAAGACGAAACACGATTCAGATGTCCAGAATTGTTGTTGATTATATCAGAAACGGTCAAAACCTTTCAAGTCAGCCATTTTCTCCATGGAATCTGCTTTCTCTGTATTGTAACTTTAACTGAACAATGACTTCAAAGTGTTACAATATTTTTCAAACTTTTTACTTTACCTTTTTCTGGAAAGACAATCTTGCTAGTTAATATATATGTATATATATTGCTTTCAAATTACTTCAAAACATCTTTCAAAATATAACTTACCAGTATGGATGCACACTTTTAAAATAATTCTACTTTAATTAAACTTAGGAGATAATATAATCAATTAATCAATACTGTTTAGGAAATAAATTATTATTAAATAACTTTGCAGCAATTGCGCAAGTAATAATAACTTGTATTCGCACTAAATGGATTTAAGTTCATACAACATTATATATATATATATATATATATATATACCGGGTGGCCATAATTAAACTGACAGTGCTCTCAGTGTTCTGTAGCGCGATCTATTTGCGAGAATGACGCCACATTTTGTAGGAAGATTAAACAAGACGGGGGACGAAGGATTCCGCAACAAAAAACAAATTGGTTCCAAAAGTCACCGCTAGGGGAATATTTGGCGCTCTGTAATAGAAAATAGAGTGTTAACAAATGCAAATTAATACGGAATAAAATTACCTTTTATTATGCACATTTTCTGATTTAGTTCAAGTGCAGTATGGCAACACTTTTAAAAAAGCGTAAAAATCTAAATAAACACCGATAAAGTCTTGTGATCTGCAATATCATGTATGCTGAGCAGAAGAAGAAGTTCTTTATTCAAATTTCACGTTACACCCATTCGCACATCCTTGGGTTTTAAAAGGCAATGTGTTACGTTTCGAATCAATCGGATTGAAAGTTTATGTGCAATGTATCCTTCTTTAGTCAAGCGTGCGTTACTGGTCAAATTCTTTTACCTCAACCAGTGCAACGCGTCAGCCGCTCTTCGTGCTTTTAGAACGCACAAAAAAATGCGTGAAGGTAACAGTTCTGTGTCAGTTAATAGGCTAAAAGCAATGGTTTGCACGTTTGAGAAAACAGGTTCTCTGAAAGTTCAGTCAAGCAGAGGACGAAAAAACCTGTACCACAGGATACAATCGAAGTAGTTGCCATGGCGATTGTCGACAGAGGAACCAGACAATATTGCTGCCACCTCTAGCACTCGTGGAGTAGCTCGGATTATGGGATATGCCTTACAGAACGGTATGGAAAATCTTGCGAAAGATTATCAACATCTATCTGTACAAGATCAACCGTGTACAGGAGTTACTGTACCCCGACCATGATAAGCGATTGACTTTTGCTCTCACCTTTCTTACCAGAATGGAGGTGGATGATGCTTGGCCATGGAAAATCTTATGGGGAGACAAGGCCCACTTTTACCTGAATAAAACTAAATACCCAGAACTGCCGAATTTGGGATGACAAACCATCACATGCAATCACAGCAATTCCCTTACATTCACCAAAGATAACTGTTTGGTGTGGGTTCACAGCGGAATTTATCATAGGTTCATTCTTCTATGAGAACATTACCCCGACAGGACCGGAAACCTGTTCTGTTACCGGAGAGAAATATCACCACATGTTAAACAGCTTTGTCATTCTGGCACTTCAGCAAAGATAATGCCTAGGGGAAATCATTTTCATGCAAGATGGAGCGTCTCCACACGTTGCTGTACAGGTGCAACAGATGCTACAACAGAAAGAGTCATTAGCCGCTACTTTCCAACTGTGTGGCCACCTCGGTTGCCTGATCTTACCCTGTACAACTTCTGGCTATGGGGTTACCTTAAGTCCAAGGTCTATCAAGGAGTGGTCCAGGACCTGGCTATGTTGAAGGATAACATATCACAGACTGTACGGGAGATTCCTGCAGACATGTTACTTTCTGCTGTTGTGCATACTGTGCACAGAATGCAATATCTGGTCCACAACAATGGCAGCCGCATTGAACCTCATTTGAATGCAAAATAAAAGGTAATTTCCATATTGATTTGCATTTGTAAACACTCTATTTTCTATTACACAGCGCGAAATATTCCCCTAGCAGTGACTTTTGGAACTACTTTTTTTTTCACGGAATCCTTCATCCCCCGTCTTGTTTAATCTTCCTACAAAATGTGGCGTCATTCTCGCAAATAGATCGCGCTACAGAACACTGTGAGCACTGTCAGTTAAATTATGGCCACCCGGTATATATATTTCTAAATGCTGATTTTTCAAAGTGCTAAATCTGTATTTGAAAATTGATGTTAAGTATTTTTTATGTACTTGTTGATGTTTGTTGTCCAGTTTCAAAAATTTCTTTAAAGAAGAGAAATAATAAATTCTTTAATCAAGGGCACAGTAACAATAGCTGTAAGCCTTTATTTTTAATGAACATTTTAAAACATGCATGTTTTTCAATTCTTTGCCCAGTTGTTGCAATTTCTTTTTATTATCCTAGTGTATTATTTATATAAATTAGAAATTCTTAAGTTATTATATATGTTACATGCATGTATTGTCTATTTATGTAAAATTTTTCTAGGCTAAATCGTCCATCCATAAACACTGTTATTTCCTTGTATTGCTTGAAGCTACTATTGTCTACAAATTTAAAGTAAAAATACCAGACTAATTGCAAAACAAAATTAATTCATGAAAAGCAATTAAATTTAAATTGCTTGTTCTGCTTTTTCTTTAACTATATGTAATAGTTTAACTTGTCATTAAGGTTTCATTGAGGTTCTCTTAATACATTGCTGGATTTCAAAATGATGAAACTTCCAGTTATGCTCATAGCTGTGCTTGCTAAACACTTATATAATGAGAGCAAGTAATAATTCCTTAGATTCTCCCCTCTTAAAGAACAACTGGAAAAGATTCAATAACCAGCCGATGAAATCTAAATGGTGAGGAGTTATCACTGACCACATTTTTAGTTCAGGTACCACTGTTGAGAGTCATTAAGATTTTTTAGTAAGAAATGGGTAAAATCAACCGTGTGCTTGCTGGTTTTTGAAATGTGAATCTTTCAGTTTCTGGCTAACTACTAACACCACAAGAGCACTTACAAATGATGTTATAATTCCTTATAAACTGAAGTCTGAAATGGTTTATTCTAAATTAATGAATAAATAAGTTTTAGAAACAATAGTATTTTGATATTTATTATTTCTTCTGATTTAGCATAGAAAATTGCTTACTTCTGTTAGTTCTTTTATCAAATTCAAATAGCTATATAGCCAAAACTGTGTGTCAGAAATTCACCAAATGATGGATTTCAGTCAGTTTTCCAAATTTGTGGAGAAATACTTGGCAATTTTTTCTGGAATTGCTGTCATGTAAATAATATGCTTGAATTCACACTTTTCAAGGAAAATTTAGTTATGAATACATTTAGAAGAGCTGAACAAGATAATTTTTTAAAAAATATTTTTGATAACCTTGTATTATAAAACCAGGAACTAGCTTTCAGAAAATATCGAAAGAATGCAGTGTTTACATACATTTTTGAAAAATAAGCATATATATTGACAAAGATATGAAATTTATTTTTTTATTTATTTCAGTCTCTTTTACATTACTTTTTAACAAAATTTAATGAAACTTGCAGAAAACATGACAGCTTTAATAGAAATATTAAATTGAAATTTGAAATCAAAGCAGTAAATATTCAGTGAGATAGGAGCATTCAAAGCAAATAATTTTTAACTGCACATGTGTAAAATACATCAACTTTTGTTTTTTTCTTTCATAATTTAATAGCCATTTTTTCACATGTGGGACAAGTTATATAAAAATTCTAAGTAATGTCATGCAAATTTAGAAAGATATCAAACATACAGTAAATTATATTGCAGTGACTTTTATTTCCGTCAATGTTTAATGTGTTTTCAGGGTTAGATTAGGTTTGCAATTGAATAATTTAGTTTTCTTATTTTATCATGTGTGTGATAGCAGGAAAAACTTAGATACAGTAAATGTTTGTACCTGAGTAGAGGCTTGATCTTTGAACTGTGAATTAGACGTAAATGTGATGTATAGTTATATCGTTGTAGAATGACTTGTTTTATAAAATAGTTTTGGAAGTTAATTTTTTGGATAGTACTGTAGCATGCATTTTCATCTGTTTAAAAAAGGGGGGAATTTTTTTTTTTTATTATCTAGAGTCGTTTAATGTTTTTTTTTTTTTTTTTAACTGATAATATTTTTAAAACCACCATCCCGGTGTAAGAGTGTGCTTCTCTTCGTGGTAATTTTTTATCATTACTTCATTAAATAATTCTCATTCATATTAAGAATGTTTATTCTCAAGTGTAAATTTTGTCTGATATTTTGTGTGCCTTATAGGACTATGATATTTTTTAATATTATTGTATAACATTAATCATTTCCTCATATAAGAGAAGCTAGAAGCTTGCATTTAGTATATTATATTGTTTTTATGTATTTAATAGAGGAGTGTTACAAAATGGCACCATTAATCGAAGAGAATCTTCAGGCTGTTGACAATCGTCTAGCTATGTTAAATGCTGTTGATGAAAAAATAAGTGCTGCTATTGAGTTATTTCACACTTTATCTAATCAGGATGCTCTTAAATATTCTGCTGGTGAAAATTATTCTAATAGAACTGTACATTTTCCTCAACCTCAGGTAAGTTTCAGTTTCACCTTTTAACTAGTAGCAATACAAACTTTTTAGTTATGTTCATGACATATTGAAATAATTTTATACAGGAGGCATTTTGGAAATTATTTTCATGATGAATATTTTTACCCTTATGTAAGGATGTTAACTCAAGGAAATCTTTTGTGTTTGGACAGATATATTACATTTTATTGTTATGTGATTTAAATTCTGTGTGTTTACTAAAATATGTTAAATTGGTTTTCCTTCTCTCCCAAAAATAGTTTTCTGATTATTGTGTGTTCAGTTTTGCATTGAAATTTAAGAATTTTATGTTCATAAAATATAATTTAATCCTTGTTTATTTTATCAGATTTCTCAACCCTCTGCAACCATGTATTCTAATATTCAGGCTGTGCCTTCTCAGATGTATATACCTGCACCATCAGTTATACAGTATGCAAAAACAGTTTCGGATGAGAACAATAAGTCAATGTTTTCAGCCCAAACAGCATTATTACAGTCTCAAATGCAGACACCTCAAAATTGTATTCCTGTTTCATCTGTGCAAGTTACTGAAACTAGTCACTCAATACCAACTTCAGATACTTCTACAAAGCTTTCATCTAATCAAAATATACCAACCAGTACAGTTTTAAACTCCTCAAATCCTGTGGGTGGTTACTACATGCCTTCTGGAATGCCATATCACATGCCATTACCTAATTTTCAATCTCAAGGTGAGTGATTATATCAAGATTTCATTAAGTAAGCTTTTTTCCCATACCTGTCAAACAAATGCAACTTAGAAAGGAAAATATTGCTATAGAAAGGAAAAAATTTAGTTATACCAAAAAGTTAGTAATGTCTGTTATATTATAAATATTTATTTCATATTTTATTTAATATTTATATAATACTTTTGACAACACTTTTTGAACCTAAATTAATAATTTCTGCATTCATCATCTTGTAGTATTTGAAGAGTTGGTAATAAAATGTTGTTTAGGATGCTAGAACTTCGGAATGTTAAGTAGTCTTTAATATCCCTTTTAAATTAATATTATATTCTAAGTAAATTTAAGGTAACAGCATTTTGATACTACCATCTCATGCTGCCAAATAACCTTTGTTGATCACTATAGGAAAATTGGTTTCCTATGTTGAATTACAGTGCTCTTGATAATAATATAGCAAAAGACTGGATATGGAATGATGAGCAATTGATTGTTAATGTACAGTAAAAAGGAAAAGCATAAAGCATTAAAATATCTTTCTTTTAATATACAGCACCAAAGAAATAGAAACAGTTATTAAAGCAGAACACCATAAGATCTTCACCGAATGTTCAGATATCTATAAAGTACTTAGGGGGTGTTTGACATTTGTCTTTTTATATCTGTCCTATCAACTGCATTCAGAAAAATATAGTGTGTCAGTCATTATAAGATTTCTCCAGACATTAAAAAGTTTTCTTCAGCAATTGTGTAACCAAAAATTTCTAATGGTGAAAGTCAGAAATATTAGTACTATTGCTTTATCCATCCAAACCTGACAAGGGTCACCAAAGAAATGCGCGCCGATCACATATATTTTGGCATCTCGGTCGCCGTCCAGCCATCACAACAGGAACATTTCCATGCTGCCCGTTTTTTTTTATATTCAAATTTAAAATGTGTGCTGCAATTGAAAATCCCACCAGTTGTGAGGTGCGGTCTGTGATACGGTTTTTGTTGGCAAAAAACCTAAAACCTATGAAAATTTATCGGCAAGTGTGTGAAGTGTACGGAAACAACATAATGAATGAAAGTTCAATCTGGAAATGGTGCATTCAGTTTAAAAATGGCCGAACTAACGTTCACGATGAAGAGAAGAGTGGACGCCCTAGCATTGTGACTGACGAACTGGTTGCTAAAGTTGATGAAAAGATTCGTGAAAAGCGCCGTTTCATAAGAAAGGAGCTTTCGCCTAGTTTTCCACAAGTTTCACAGACTTTGTTGTTTAAAATTGTCACACAAAAGCTAGGCTACCACAAATTTTGTGCAAGATGAGTGCCGAAATTGCTTACAGACCACCGTAAAGGTCAGCGAATGGGGGCAACTTTGACATTTCTGGAGGCCTATGACAGACATGGTGATTCATTTACTGGATCGAGACGTATGCGAGACAAAATTACAGTCCATGCAGTGGGGGCACACAAGTTCCCCCAAAAGACCAAGAAAATATTTGCAAACCTTGTCACCAAAGAAGATTATGGCGACTGTGTTTTGGGATAGGCAAGGTGTGCTTCTGATTGATTTTCTCAAACGTGGTACCACGATAAACTCTGAGCAGTACTGTCAAACTTTGCGCAATCTTAGGAGAGCAGTTCAAAACAAGTTGATGTTCAAAATTTTGTTTTTGCACGACAATGCCGACCTCACACGGCAAACCACTCTCAAGAACTCCTTAATTCATTCAAATGGGAGGTTTTTCCTCATCCGCCCTATAGTCCCGATCTTGCACCTAGTGATTTTCACTTTTTTCCAAGAATGAAGAACTGACTAGCAATACAGCGCTTTGACGACGACAAGGAGCCGCGGGTGCGCGTCACTGAGTGGCTGAGATCGCAGGCAGCAGAATTCTATGATGAAGGAATTTCAAAGCTTGTTCACCGCTATGATAACTGCCTCAATTTGTTTGGTGACTATTTGTAGAAATTTGTAGAAAAGCAGAATTTTAGTCGCTCTTTCTGATGCATATAATAATTTTTTTTTTCTTGTACTTAGTTTCTTTTTAATTCCAAAATGTTCCTTACTTTCTGAATATCCTACATATATTGGAATGTAGAAATTGTGCATTCCATGAAGTTAATTTGTGCAGTTGCGTGATGTTTTTTAAGTTTTAGTCAATGCATATATGCATGTTAAGAATTCTGCAATTTTTTGCTGTTTTTAAAAGTTAAAACAGATCACTGTCACTTTTAATTTAGTTGATGTTTTATGTAGTTTTGTGTGTTTTGTTTCAATTTTTTTTTTATGTAGCTTTCAGTGTTTCATTATGGATGATTCTTGCATTTTTAATTTTGTTAATTCATTTTGTTTTATGAAATTACCCAATTTTCAGTGTCCCACTGTTTTTTAAAATTGCTAGTATTTCTCACGTGTTAGGTTGGCAAAAAATTAAATGCCAATAATTGATGACTTTGTAGGAGGGTTGGGCAGATAGTGCAAGTATGCCAAAATATTTACTGAACATACAGATCAACAGGTGAGATTTGGGATGTATGTTGGAGAACTGCAAATGGTAGTCATATGGACATAATCCATCTCAGTTTATAAGAATGAAATCTGAACCTTATCATTTCTAGTCTTGCATAGGTGTTGGTCCAAGACTGTACTGCTGTACTTATCAAGTACCTAGAAATCCATTATTTATATGAATATCAGCTGGAAAAAAAGGTGGCTCATCATTTGGTGTAGTAATTTTAAACATGCTGATGAAGTCCCAAGCTGTTGAGTTGGGATTCATATCCCATAAGACATGAGTGTTTATGACTACAGTGTCTTTGTAGAACTGGGTTATTTAAAATCTGTTGAGCCAGAAGTCTTCTCAAAAGATTGTTGAGTGTAAAAACCCTTTGAATTACATTTCTTTGAAGCCTCTTTTCAAAATTTGCTGGGGAGCTTGGCCATATAATCATGTATCCATTACCTAAATTAAATAATTCAGTCCAATGAAAAGAGAGTCAAAGGCTTAGGGTATCAACTCAGGAGGCAGCTCAACTTGCAGTTGATAAATTATATTTAAAGTAAATTTAACTGGGACTTTTCTAGAAGATTTTCCTAGAAGGTGAAATTTCTAGAAGAATTAGGAGAAAAGAAAGAAGAAGAATAATGGGTCATTCAAATAGTTTGTGGTTTTTTTTTTTTTTTTTTTTTTTTTTTTTTTTTTTTAAGATAAATATAAATGAATCCTTTCAAAAACAAATGATTTTTTGCCATATCTTTGGCAGTCAAATTTTTTAAAGGAAAAGTCATTAGGTTGATTCATAAAGAAGTTAGGTGCCATTTGAAGGAAGGAACGGTTCAGAGAATTTTTAAATGATTTGAAGAGATTAAAAACCTGAAGCACCAAGGTCTGGTGAGTATGTGAGGTGACACAAAACATCCCAATCGATAAGACTTTGTCTGACATTCATTTGAAATGTGAGCCTAAGCATTGTCATGATAGCAGACAATGCATCATAAATTGGTCACTTCTGGGCACATTGCTTCACTTTCAGGTTTGCCATTAGGAAACAGTATTATGCTGAACTTCTTGTCTAATTTAGTGATAGCAATTCAAAGTATGTAATTCCTTTGCAGTCCAATCACACACAAAGCATTACTTTTTGGGGATGCAGCATCCCTCTTAAATGTTACTAAGAGAGGTTCTTTTGGCTTACCCAATGATTTTAATAATATCCACTTTATTATTCCAACATTATTTAATGATAGCCACTTCTCATTTCTAGTAATGAACAACTTTAAAGTAGAAATTTCTTTATTTCTTTTATACAAAGAATCACATGCCAGAGCTCAAACAAGTATATTCTGCCCTTTCAAAGTGTAGGGTACCCATACATCATAGCAGCTTACGTACCTAATCATACTCAAATTATCCTATACTGTACTTTTTTAGAATATTTAGCCTATCTGATTGTTCCTGAACTATATAACAGAAATTTTCAATGATGCGTTCATTTAATAGGTCCTTTTTAGAGAAGTTTGTTGTCTAGAACAGAATCATCTTCAAGGCTGAAATTTGTGTGCTTCTCAAATAACCTTTGAACTGTGTTGTCAGAAACAGCACTTTATTCATATACAGCAATCTGACTTGTGTTTTTTTTTTTTTTTTTTTTTTTTTTTTTTTTAAAATAAAAGAACATAATATGATGAAAATGAGCTTTTGGGTCACAGCACTGAAACAAAAATTATGCCACAATGCATTCTTGAATTATGCAACACAATCAGTAAAGATCATATTTAAATAGCTCCATTCATAAAAATCACTCCTTATCAACAGTAACAACGCACTTTGATTTGAATAACCGCAGAACTTTCCAAATGACACAATATTTAATTTCCTCTGAATCCAATTATTCAACTTGAGATTTCCTTTTCTTCAGTTTCTCACCCAGTGGGTGATGCTTTATGTCAAATTAATTCCCTTGAGTTGTAATTGGCTATTTTTAGTGTATGTATATCAGTTATTAAAACCCACTCGGATTATGCAAGAATTTTTTTAAAGCATTTACAAGTTGCCATTCTTTCATTTTGTGGAGAGACTGATAGAATAGAAATCATTTTAAGCAATTGTCCCAAATAGTTTGTGTATGATAAATCTTTTTTTAATAATGTATTTTCTTACAATATATTCTGAAACTTGCAGTTGATAAATTATGAACTGTAATGCATTAATGAAGTGTGCTTTTTACTACTTTATGTTATATCTTGTAATACTAAATGAAACAGCACAAAATGTACTGTGCTGCACTGTAATCTCTCTCCGCTTTCTCATACACATGAAAAAAAGGAATTTTTGACATTTTAGACTAATATGCAGAAGACAAGCAGAAAATTTAAAAAATAAAAAAAAAAAAAAAATGTAATAGTTCCTGTACCCTACAGTACAATGTACTGTTTCAAGGATTGGTAAAAATAAAAAATATTGTTGCTCCAAAGCAATGAAAAGGGTATTATGGTTAACACCCGTATAA